ACAGTGGTGGTGTCATTGTCCCAGGGAGTGTTCAAAAACTGTGCAGATGTAGTGCCCAGGGTCTTCAGAATCTCAGAGGTCTTTTCCAGTCTTCTCCTGTGATTTTGTCACTCTCTAATTGAAAGCTGTACTGAGAAATGCAAACACAGGCAAATGTGTCCCACCCTACTCACCCTGCTGGGTTGCTTTGTTGCAGGTGATGTTTAGAAACAAATTACTCTTTCAGTGCATCCTAAAAAAAACCCTCAGAGAATTTTCCTTGTTTGGGTTTTTATTCTCTTTATCCAATCTCTGTTATCACTGCAATATTTCATGCTTCTGCACAAAAAAATAAAAAAGTCCTATTCAAGAACAAAGAAACCCACAGCTTTTCTTCATTTCAGTCTTTTGTGTCCAAAGGGCTGTCCTTAACTCAATAACTGAGTTTTTATTGTGTCACATTTCACTGTCCCTGACTGCAGCCAGCCTGGCTAATCCTTTTGCTGCTGCCTTATCAGTATTTCGCCCCAAAAAAAGACATTGTCCTTTTTGTCCTTTTATTATTACCTTGACACCTGCTCCTGAGTGCCTGGCTGGGTTTGAGAACTTAAAATTATTTTTTAATGCAGTTTTATTTTGGAAAAAGGAGCAGCTTCAAATTATTTTCCCAACCCATGTTTTTATACATGCTTTGCTAACCATGATAGATCATTTGGAAATGGAAAAAAAAAAGAAAAAGAAAAAAGAAAAAAGAGTGAGATTTAGGTTCCTCCAGGATTTTGAAAATGAAGGTGTTCAAAGACTTGCTGTTCACCTACTCCCAGCTGCAATATAAAAGGAAGATTTGTTGCATTTCTGGTTGCAGTAAGAATTTGCTTCGAATTGAGGTGTTTTAAAAGCAAAAAACCAAAATCAAATACAGAGCCCTCTAGCTATATTTTAATTGTTGACTATTACATTGATGTTCTGCAGAAGATACTCAAGTATCTTGCTCTCGCAAGCTTTAATCTTGTGATAAATTTTGTATTTCTGTGCAAAAGACCAAACAAAGAGAGGAGAGATTCCCATGCTAAAATCCTTTCTGTAATTGAAACAGGAGCTCAAACACTGACTCACTGACTGGCAGGAATCTCTCTGGATTGGCACAGGCAGTGGCTGCATGGGCTGGGGGGCTCTGCTCAAAGCTCCAGCAGTACAAGTGATTATCAAGAGGTATCTCTGATATCCTTCTCACCTTCATGAATTCAGCTGATTGTTTTCAATACATGGAGAGTGTGGTAACTAAAGATGCTCAGGCATTTTTCCCTGATTATTTTACTTGAGCCTCCCAGTGTTAATATAGAAGGGTCTTTTCTATCCTTAAAGAACAACAGTGCCTTATTTCACAGACTGCAGGAACTCCTGCCCTAATACTGGATGTTCAAGGCAGCTCTCAAGGAAGTCATGAATACTTCCCAAATTCACCAGGGGAGCCACAGGCCTTGGCTGTTCTTGCAGCTACCTGCCAGATCTGTTCATCTCTGTCTACAGTTCCTGTGTTCTGCCCATGTCTCTTGGCCAGTAAATGCTTCCCAGGGACTATATTGCTTTCAAACCTTGGACCATCTGAAGAAGAAAAAGTGGTTTTTTTCCCCATAAGAAACTGCAAAAGTTGCATGTATTTAATGAATGTGGAACTGAGTGCTCTAGGCTGCTGCTTAGCTGGGGGAATAACATTTCTGCTGACTCCCTGAAGATTTCAAGCTGGTAAATTTTCACATTTATTTTCTTTTAATAAATTCTCTCCCTCATGTACCCAGGGGCAACTTTGGTGGCACCAATCATCAACATACACATTTTCTGTCTGTGTTACACTTCTTGAACCTATTTATTCCATTATAGTTTAAATTCTTCTTGCTCTTATCAGCTGACCTTTACATACAGCTTTGCCTGCCTCCTTTAGCAAACTCTATTATCCTTGCTTTATTTGAAGCACTCAACAAGGTTATTTTTAATTGTTGCTATTGTTGCTTTGTTCTAAAGAAACAAAATTTGTTTTTCAAAATAAATGATATCTGCAGCCTTTCCCAGCTATTGGCCACCTTATCAGACTATGTAATGATGCCAATTCTGCTTCATCAACTCTTTAAAGATTCACAGTAAGTCCAGTCCAGTTTATAAGAGACAAAGGCAAGAGTGAAATGTATGATCTCATTCCTCTGGGTGCAATTCTTTCAGCAAATGTAAAGAGTGAGCTGTTGATATGGAAAGGTTAATGCTGTACCCTCTTTTTTATCAATTGTCTGTTTTCGATCAAATCTATGCCTTATCTTATGTCTACTTTATCAGATCTGCTTAAGTAAGGTACACATTTGAAGCCTCTTCTAAATTTAATTTCTCCTTCATGAAAGTCCTGCAACTATTAAAAAAAGAGAAATCCTTTTACAAAGTCTATTTTAGACAAGGGACACAGGCCAAGTCCAGGTATTAGCCATTTGCCAACTATGCCCTTGATCACAAAATACTCCTCTCATCTTCAAATTGATCAGTAACCTAAAATAGAGCATTTTAAGATAATGCACCCATTCCTAATTTCTTTTATTCAGTTAAAGGAAATACATTGGTACAAATTTCCCTTAAAATTGGCTGTTGGCCTTTCCTGACAGTAAACTTCATGAAATAAAATAACTGATTTCTGTTCCCAGGCTCTAGCCACTCAAAGATCTTGATTGTGAAGGGAGAGCTGCTGGTAGCAATCAAGAGCACCAAAAAATACTTTTTGGGGTGTTCTTGGCACAAACTGCAGCATGGCAGATAGCCACTGTTGTACAGCTTGTGTTCAGAACTGTCTGGATGCTGCTCAGTGAACTCCCTTGTGTTTCCAGTGGTTTTGGGTTCCTTCCTTTCATTTTGGTTTTCATCTATTCTCTAGAGGTGAGGAAAATCACCAACCTCCCTAGCTGCCCAAATACTTGCTCTGCTGAATCTTAAATTCTCATGTTCTACTTGTGTATTTTTTTCTGCTTGCTTGATGCCTCACCAGCTCCCGTGAAATTTGGAAACTGAAGGGAAGTTTCATTGTGAAATTAAAACTGATAATTATGAAATTAAAAATAGACCAGCAGATCTGTTAGGAAGCCTGAGCAGAGTGTAGGTAGGGATCTTGTGTTTATCAAATATGTTGCTGAAGATTTACCTCACAGGCTGGTTTTTACCTTTGCCATTTCCAGACAACTCTACTTCTAACAGTGCTTTTCTTAATTCTATTTCCCCCTCCTCCTCCCCATCCCCAAAGAGCTGTGTGTCCTTGTGTCTTTGGCTCCAGACAGTTGTCTTGCATGGCAATCTGATCTTCCAAATGCATAATTTCTTTATTATTAAAATCAGGGATTTTGAGTTATACCTCATGGCCTTAGCCTGGAGGCCAGTTCCTTGTTGCCAGCATTGGTGTATGGTTGACTTTTTCAGCTTCATGTTGTATTTCATGTACTTAGTGTTAAAAACCTTCCTTCAGCCCTGTTTTTAGCATTCTCCTGCAGTGTGACTGTGGTTGACATTAAAAATATGCCCAATGTTCCCCTTGCATCAGTAAAGAATGTTTTGACAAGGATTTTCTAATGCTGGAAAAGTATTTTTGAAATGCTGTAACTTCTCCTTAAACCTCAGTGTGTCCCTCTCAGGCTCTGATTACAGGGCTCTAAATGTTTTATATTAACTGTTAAAAGAGACTCTTAGAGAAATCCTCTCTTTCTGTGCAAAACTCCAAGGTGGTAGTTTGCTTTAAAACAAAGGGGTATGTGCTTTGATAACACAAGCTTTATAATAATGAAATGAAGACGCAAACTTAGTCTAATTCCTTGTCCCATTCATTCATGGATTGAAAGGAAAATTAACCATTTTGGTAAAAACAAAAGCTAATGCCTTTTTCTTACTTGGGGTTCTGTAAGATTTAAATATTCAATAGCTTTAAGCATAATGTGCCTTTTTCATGTTGGACTCATCTTCCTTCCAACCCTTTGAGCAGTTTGCATGCTTGTGCCAGCTTTCAAAACTGACAACTCCTGCCCTGCTCAAAGGTCTCAAAGGATTCTGGTGAAAAATTTATTTTAACGTTTGATCTCCATAACTCCTTGACAGAAAAAAATGAACTTTCAGCCGTTACCAAAACTGCAGAAGATAGCCTAAAATTTAATACACATAACAGGAATGAGAGAACCTTGGTATTTGCCCTGGCTTGGGAAAAACAGGTTCTGCCTTTCAGTGACATAAAGCTACTTTCTTAATGACTATAATTTTGTTACTGTTCTGTCTGGGAAAATTGCACCACTCTGACTTGATAGTTAGAACTGTAGCTAAGCCAAAGGAGATGAGCATAAGAGTTTTGTGGAATGAATACCTTTGAAATTACATGCTTAGTATAGCAGTGAGGAATTTCTAAGAGCTGGAATTACCTGGAAGACCATCTCTGAAAGTGCAGTCTTTGTTCACTAACTTCTTTTTGAGCCTCAAGATCTCTTGGGGCTTTTGTTTCCAGTTTGGTTTTGGGTTGGGTTTTTTTCCTAACTGAGGTATCAGGCATGAAATTTGTGCAACATACCTGGAAAACAGACAAAATTGGTACCAACATGTTACATGACTTGTGAGGGTTCCTCAGGGTGAGAGAGATAGACAAAAATCTTGTTTCATGATCAGAAGACTGGATTTATTAATTTATGATATATAATACATTATGACTATACTAATAGGAATAGAGAGAAAAGTTCAGAAGCTGCTAAGCTAAGAACTGAATAGGAATCTCAAACAAGAGAGCTCTCTGTGAATCTGTCCCAGAGAGTTTTGTCCTGTGATTGGCCCTTAATTGTAAACATCGAACATGGGCCAATCACAGGTGCACCTGCTACATTCCACAGCAGCCGATAATAATTGTTTACATTTTTCTTCTGGGGCCTCAGCTTCCCAGAAGAGGAAAACTCCTAAAAGAAAGGATTTTTATGAAAGAATGTCTGTGACACCAACACAAAAAAGTGTAGAAAAGATTTATTGTAAACAAAAGAATTTTGTGCAAACAGTGAGGATAAAGGCTTCTGGTTTTTTTAAAATGCCACAACTTTGTAAAACCCTCTAAATCTACTCAGTCCACAAACAGTCCACTCAGGTCAGTTATGCAATTGGCTTTGATTTTCCTTGCAGAAAGGAGCTCCATCCTCTGAGGTTTAATGTTGGCTCTGGAGCGAGATCTATTTTTTTGATACCTCTGAGGCAAGAAGGCAAAGAATGACCCAGCAGAACGGAAACAGAACTGTGGGTGCACTGGGCTGGGCTTTGGTACCCCCTGAGGCCCTGGGGGCCCTACCAGCCCCGGGAGCTGCTCGGGGTGCGATCTCCGGCCCTACCGGCCCCGGGAGCTGCTCGGGGTGCGATCTCTGGCCCTACCAGCCCCGGGAGCTGCTCGGGATGCGATCTCCGGCCCTACCAGCCCCGGGAGCCGCCCAGGCTGCTCAGGCCGGGCGCGGGGCGCTGCTCCTCCAGGCGGTGGAACTCGGTGAGGCGGAAGCGGGTGGCCAGAGTGTTCACCATCCTCCTGAGGGCGAAAAACGCCGCCACCACTTGGAAGCAGAGGAAGGCGGCGAAGATGATGTGGACGGCACGCTCCAGAGAGTGGATTTTCAGCCCTTCATTAAATAGCAAGAAGAGAATTATAGGCAACTGCGGGAGGAGAGTCAGGAGCCAAAACCCAGCCAGCTCAGGGACCTACAACAGGGAGACATCACCTATTAAAAACCTGACAGCTGGGATGAAAAAATCCAAAATCTTGTAAAGAAAACACATTTATTTTTAATTTTCCAAAAGCCAGCACATAATGCAGAAAGGCAAAGTGGGGTGGCTTCCTATTTCCATATCCTGTGTTTTTAAGCATACTTGTATTTTCTGACAAAATAATTTTAGGGAGTGAGAGAGTTCTCTTCTGAGGGAAAACTACTTGAAATTCACAAAATTAAGTGGAAGCCAATGCCAAGGGAATAGAAGATGCAGAGTGCAACTGAAGAGAAATAACCATGTCTTCAACTTAAATCTCTCAAATAAAATGCCTGCCAGTTAATGCTCAACTCCCAAAAGCAAAAATTCTTGCAGAAATTAGTGTGTCCATCTGGTAACTTACTTTCTCCAAGAGATTGCCTACATATCCCAGGTAGAGTCGAATGAGCTCTGTCAGAGAGACCAGGATCATGATGGTGACCAGGATGAACTTGTAATAATCTGATAAGGCTGGATACTGCAGGGGAAGAAGAAAGTAGAAGTTTCTGCCGTGGTGTCTGTGATTAAATGAAAATACTCTGTGCTACTCTCAGTCAACAGTATTGGCATTCAAACACTCCTGAACCTTCAGTTTCCATGAATTCCCAAAACAATGTAAAAACCTCTAACTCCACTGAGCTGTATCCCACACCAGGATGTGTTTGATGTAACACAGATTTACAAACCAACACTTTCCTTCCTTCTCACCTTCATGTAGAGGATGGCAACTGTGATGAGCCACCAGAATGGGAAGAAATAAACATTGAAATAGAGGGACATCTGCAGTGGCAAACTGGAAAGGATTTCACAATCTGTACAGAGAGAAAGAAGATTTTATCACTCCAGCTGTAAATATCACAGAAGGATACTGCTCCATCTTAGCTTCACGCAGGGCAGGAATTTGACTCTTCCCACTCAAATAAAATGTTAAGAAAAATATTTTTGTTTATCCAGAGGAAATCTTCACACCCTATCTTCACATCATATCCTATTCCATTTCCTGGAATCCAACACACCTTTTGGCTCCTGGGATAGAGCATTTTTATAATTCAGTCATGTAATCAAGCTGAGTGTCCAACTGTTGATTACCTGGTGGGTCTTAGCTTACTCCACCATCTCTGACTAAGGCTTAAGAGAGCTGCTAGAGAGCAGACTTGCATGGCCCACTCTCCATTTTCAACCTTTTATTTAAACAGACACTTGGAAGATAATTTGTCTGATTCCTGAGAGATAACAGTTTCAAATATGTGTCAAACTAAAGTTCATCCTTTCAGGCCAGTACAGGACAAGCTGTATCACATAACTCAATGTAGAGAAAGGCAAGTCTCCAACTCCCAACATGTGGGCAGTAAATTCTGTACTTATGACTTTATAACAGACCTACAAGGTCAGACTTAAGGAAAAAAATTACTTAAAAACAAAGAAGCCAAGATGATGACAATTCAAATTTCAATTGTCATCACAATGTTTAGGTATGTTAAAGCTTTCCTAGACATGGCATTGCTATTTATAAATTCTGTGCAAGTTCTAAAACTGTGTTTGGATGAATGTTTAAGCAACATAATCCAATTCTAATTAATTTTTCTATCCCTAAATTAAATTACTGCTTATTTGCTGGGATTGCTAAAATTAATGCAAAAGCCAGACAGTATTGCAATGGCTGTTGCTACAGCAACTCCCCGAGATATATATGTGTAAAACGGAATTTTCGAAATCCCGATGTCCAATAATTTGCAATTGGATATTAACACAGGAGTATTCCATACACAGCAAGCCAAAGAAAAAAAGACTAGAGATAGAAGATACTGGTGAAATGTTTGATAAACGAAATGAAGAACTCGTAAGCGTTAGCAGTGTTACTACACAAAGGAAGCGGGAACTCCTCTCTTGAAACAAGAACCTCTTGTTGATTAATTCGATCGGCTTAGAACGGATTTATGGGGTGAAATCACGGCAGCCTCTCTGTGCAGGCTGCACTGTGAGCACTGCCATGGCTACTCTCGCGGTAGAGGTTTGAACAGGGCGCGGGTTGTGCCGCAGCCACGGCTCTCCCCGCCAGGCCGGGTGCACACAGAGAGAGGCGCCGGCCCCAGCAGCTCCTGCGGGCGCTGCCTCCGGCGGGTCCCGGCGGGCCCGGCCCGGCTCCGCAGCAGAGCCCCGGGCCCGGTGCTGCCCGCCCGGCCGGCCCGAGGCCGCGCTGTACCTGCGCGGTAGCCCGGGAAGCCCGGGGGGGCGCGGGGGCCGTCGCCGAGCGCGGTGCGGTGGCTGTCGCTGAACACGGAGCTGCTGAAGGACACCAGCCGCCGCCGCAGCGGCTCGGGCAGCGTCGGGGGCCCCTCCGGCCGCGCCATCGCGCCCAGGCCGCGGCGGAGCCGCGCAGGCGCCGTGGGGCCCGCAGGGCTGAGGGGCCGGGACGAGGCTGGGGCGATGCCGGCGCTGGGGCGGGAGCGATGCCGGGGTTGGGGAGGGAACGATGCCGGCGCTGGGGCGGGAGCGATGCCGGGGTTGGGCCAGGAGCTATGCCGGGCTTGGGGCGGGGGGAGCGGAGCCCCCGCCGCAGGGACGGACCCCCCGAGCCCCCCGGGGCGCGGCTGTGGCGGGACGGAGCTGCGGCCGTGCCCTGGCCCTGGGAGCTGCCGGGGCCAGCGGCTCCCCTCAGTTCCCGCATCGCTTCGCTTCGTTTCGCACCAGTCCGAGGGGATTTTTTTTTCTTCCACTCTGTGGTTTTCTGAGAGGGTAACGGGAATGCTGGCCCGAGAAAAGGTGCTGTAGAAGCGCTCTCCTCCCATCTAGATGAACCCGGGAGAATGATGGCCCTGGATGAGAGTCAGAGAGGGAATGGGGATTGGAAGAATGGTGTGAACATTCTGTGTTGCCACTTAAAATTACTCATTTTACCAGAGATGCAGGTGTAACTGAGCCAGGAAATACCTTTTCCTCAAGGAAATCTCTGTGTGCTACTCTGAAGTTAAAAGCTGTGGTTTTACCAAGACAGCTGAAGCCCAGTCAGCTTTGTCCCTTACTGGGGGTTTCATGGAATCACAATAAATTAATAATATAAACCCGATTTCTTGTGCTTCTTTTACTTGGAAAATACAGGCCCTCTAGAAATGAGGTAATTTGCTCTCCTGGTTTTTCAATAACTTTAGGGCCTGATTTTTTCCTTCAAGAAAAAAAAAAGAATGCCGTTCTTAAGTGTGCAGGAAGTTATTTTCTGCACAACCAAAATGAAAGAGTAGCTTGTGCCTTTTACTATGAGAGATTTTCTGCACCTAATATGACATAGAATTACAGGATGGTTTGGGTGGGAAGGGAACTTAAAGATCACAATGTTCCAAGCCCCCTGCCATGGGCAGGGACACCTTCACTGGGCAGGGCATGCCAGCTCTCCTCTCCTGCTCCCCCACCCCAAATCATGTTCAGCTTCTTCCTGGGGTGATCATGCTCCAGTATGACTTTCCAAACTCAATTATCTCCGACTAAATAATTTAAAGCCTAGTTCAAATTGAATTTCATTTTATCCCACTGGGAGGACTACAGAGAAAGATGGCTAAACAAGGAGGAGTTCTGACAAATCCATTTGGCTTTTGAGCTGGTGAATGGTGTGGTATTGACAATAAATACTTTTCTAAGGACTTCTCCAAACATGGGTATGCCAGCAGGAATCTGCATTAAAAAACAACTGAAATGATAGAAGAGTTTAAGAATCACTTTTATATTTGAGGAAACTTTATGAAATCCAGAATTAATGTTCAAATTGGTTTCTGAACTTTAAAAAGTGCAGTCTGTATCAGTTATCTTGCCAATTGCCAGTAGGTGCTGGAAATTATTTCCTTTCAGGCTCAACAACTGTAGTGGTGACTTTTGCACTGTTTAGCCAGTATGTTCATAAAGTTCTCTGCTATAGAAAGGGACAAGGTGAGGAATCTCAATGAGATTGCCAGACATTTTGTTCTACTGTTGTTACCTTGGTTCTGACCTGATTAACCACTCTATAAGTTATGGAGACTCTCATCCCATACTCTCAACTACTTGGACACAAGAAACAGGCTTATATGAATCAAAATATGGCAGAGTTTTGATTAAGTCAGATATTCATGGAAGTCTCAAGGTTTTTTCCATGGTATAAGTTGGTGGCATGTAAAAGTTCAGCCTTTAATGATTTTCCTTTTGATTACTTTTTCTGAATGGATGATGGAAGAAATGTTCCTGAACATTCCTGAACAATGTTATTGTGCCTTTTCCTGATGCCAGTGGCTTTGAGTGAGGACCCTGATCATCCTAATGCTGCTTATGTTTTATGTTCCCCAGTTCTGAAAACCTTCAAGCATGCAGCCAGGTGTCCTGCCAGCAGCTCTGCAGCAGCCAGGGGTGTTTTTTTTCAGAATTGGGCTCTGCCCTTGTAAAAACTGAAGCAATCCAGTTTAGCAGCCAGGGAAGTGGGTAAAGGAAAGGCTGATGGCATGCAGACACCACAAGAAATGTATGGATTTGCCATGCAGGCTCAGCTTCCAGACTCAAGGTGTGACTGTGATATTTGGCAGCCTTCCATTTTCAACAGATGGCCCAGCATTCTGCATGCCCCCACAAAATAAAGTTGTGCACAATTTGTTTAATATTTTTGTCTGTGCACACACTTCAAATATTCCCTGAAGAGAAACTCTTTGTTTTTACTAATTCTGTTTGATTTTTGTTAGTCTACAGCCTCCTATTTTAAAATTTTTATCTCTCAGCAATTTAATGATCAGAATTCTTTTGATTTTCTGTAGGGAGGGATGAAGAGCATCCTTTCAAGTGGAGGAAAACCTTAAAACTTGAAGGATCAGAATACCTGGGGCATCTCCATTGACACATCAGAGCGTTCTGTAACAGAAGGGCAAGAATCTGTGCCATAAGGAGTGGGAGAAGGAAAAACACTGAACTGTTACGTGGCTGATGTAACAGAGACCATGACCATCTGCATAAATAGTGTCACATTTCCAGCTTTTCTGACAAAACTCTGTCTGGCCTTTTCCTTTCTTCATGAAGAGGCATTCCCCGACTGAACCTCTGCCTAACATCCACAAATGGGTGTTTATGTAGAAATAAGCAGATTTCCAGTTCTTTGTGCTTCAAAATAAGATATTGAAATGTGAGGCTGGAAGAAATAGGCTCACAGTGGCACAGCATTTAAAATTACTGCTTTATTTCTCTCCACACGTGCTAGCTATAAAAAAAAACAAAAGTCTCTGAAAAATCTGCCTGAAAGCTTTGAATCAGAGCAATATTGGATCTTTGTGTATCCACAGCAGTCCAGCTGACTTGGTAGACACTGGCCTGGCTCCCAGACCAAAGCTCCTGGGGCTCTCTGGCAACAACACAGAGCCATAAACACCAGATGCAATATATCTATTGAAATGAAATATCAGCAGTTTTGCACAATTGGTATTTCAGCAATGCAGGGTTCATTTAACCAGTTCCAGTGGTTTACCTTTGCACCTGAATCACAATTTCTGCATTTCTGAAGGTGTTGTTGTGGAATCTCACAAAAGCTGTTTTCCCTGGTGTGCCTTTGCTGCTGTCCCCTGATGTGTGTGAGCAACAGAAATTACTGTCCTCCTTGCTTGCTTCCTAATACCTGCCTGGTATTTTAGCAGAAATGGTGGAAAAGATGTGAGAAATACTGCTGAGCCAAGGCAGAGTGCAGCCTTGCTTCCTCCTCGTGTCCTAAGAATGAAGTGGCAGATTGGGAGTTTTAACAAATCACAGATGCCACGAAGACTCTAATGTGTGTGATTGAAAGGATCATGTTATGAGCTGTGCCAGTGTCTGCCAGAGTAATTTCACAGCTGTGCTTCTGCCTCGTGAACCCCAGGACAGTGGTTTTTTTTTCTCTGTGTCACTTGTGCAGGTTTTAATTTCACACCTATGGGGTATTTGTGTCTGGTAAACAATTATTGCTGCTGCTGAGACTTAGCCCAGGCCCTTGTGTCAAGTATTATCAAAAACATATCACTGCAGGGATTCCATGCATTAAATATATATTGGCTATTTTAGTTTTAAGCATAAAGACAGCAGGAAAATAAAAAGGAGAAAAACGAAAAGAAGAAGAAAGGACTATTATTTGCTCCTGCAGATTGAGTTCCTTCTTGCTGTAATTGGCTTTCAGTTAGAGCCACTCCCTACTTTTGTTTTATTTATTTTGCTGATTGGTAGTTTTGTCAAGCATGCTGGGAGAGTCTGAAAGCTGGCATGGCTATTAAACAAGTTTTACTGTTTGTGTTGCAAAAGTGTTCAAGATTTTCATGGTACATGAGAAGGTTACTGAGAGTGGATGGATTTTGAGCCAGGCTCTCACTAAAGATCCTTGATGGGGCTTCAGCCTTGGTCTCATCTTTGCATAGGCACGCAAGCTGATCTTTCATGCAGTAATTTAAACTGCCCGAGTATTATTTGTACAATCCAAACTAGTTAGAGAGGCTTCACCTCTCCTAGTGTGTTCCTTCAGAGGGCAGGAGCAATGTCTGAATGTCTCTGTCCTTCTCTTCTGATTACCAGCAGAGTCTCGTTGTTTTCCTAAATCAAGGTGCACAAAAGGTTTAAAATTTGATTCTTTATAGGGATGTAAGCTCTCCCAGATGTTGCCTTGTGGGTCTGAGTTCCTCCAGACGGTCAGGCTGTTTGTGTTCCCTGGGTACCACAGCAGATGCTTCACCTGCAGCCTGTGCAACTCTTGCAAAAAGGCTTCCTGGGACGTGGGCCCTGGCAGTTCCAGTGCTTTCTGTCTGTATTGCAGAATCCAAAGATGGCTCAATATTTAAAAATTTACCTCCAATCTGTATCAGCTGTGCAAAGGCAGGATTGATTTTGCTGTTGCACACTGCTGCCAGGTCCCTGTAACAGTTGCTTTGTATCCTCTGCAATTAGCTCAAGCCTGAATCCTGAGTGAGTGATGGAGGATAACACTTGTAATTTGATCATTTAAGGGAAAAAAAAAAAGCCACAAGGCAGAGAGGACTGTTGTTTAGTTAACAAACTGCTCTCAGTGTTAAGGCTTTTTTTTTTTTTAAAGTCTTAATTTTTCTATTTGGACAGTTACATAAATGCCTAATTTCCACAGTGTGAGTATGCCACAGCTTCTGTGGAATTTAAGTGGGAGTGGCAGCAGCACTCTAAATTGAGGTTAGATATTTGAATTCTTTGATATACATTTGGATGTCTAAATTTGGATTTCTAAGCAATAATAATCTCTCTTTCTGGTTTGAAGCTTTGCTGAATGCAAAGGTAAGTATGAATGTGAGGTGCTGTGTTCTCAGGTCAGCACCATCATGTTTCCTTCGTTCCTTTTGCCCAGGCCAGCTCCATCCTTTTG